GCATTGCAGTAGACCCCCATTTCTAAGGTACTGCTTACTGGCTATTGCTGCCAATGTCTTGGGGTTTGGCTTCTTTATATGATCATTGACTGGCAGGCTTTCCCATCCTCATAAGTGGGAATATTCATGAATAAGTATGTTATTGCTGATTGATTGCTGCTGGTAGGTGCTGTTGAGTCAAGTATAAGCCACAGCAGCCCTACTAACTCTATCCCTTCCTGTCCCATCTTCACACTTCCTGAAACACTAGAGCCCATTGTGGCAGTCACTGTGGTTCCTCTGCTTTGCTGACTCTCCACTTTTTTGAGCATCATGTCCTTCTCCAAAGAACAGCTCCTCCTAGCAGCATACCCAAAGTATGTGAGTCGAAGCCTCAATATCTTTGCCTCCAAAGAACACTCTGGCTGCACCCTCTCCAAGACATACTTTTAGGGAAGGCTAGCTTCTGAATGTACTGACTTCCTGTTAAATTTTCAAATAAAATGTTCAAGGACTCCGTAGAGTTAAAAATGAATGTTTTAGAATTGCTTTGGAATTTTAATGATCCTTACACAATTCTTGTTTTTATTGTTGCTCTTATGTGCCATTGAGTCTCCTGCAACTCATAGCGGTACTATGTACCATAGCCCTAAACTCTGCTCTGTTCTGTGCCAGTCTTATTGTCTCTGACACACCTACTCCCATTACCTCAGGCACTGAATCAATTCACTTCATTGAGGCTGTTCTCTCCTGCACTGTCTTTCCACCCTCCCAAGCATGACGTCCCTTTCCAAGGACTGGTCCCTCCTTGCAACATGTTCAAAGTATGTCAAAAGAAGCTTCAGAATCCTTGTCTCCAAGGAGCATCCTGGTTTAACCTTATCCAGGGTGAACCTGTTCATTCTCTTAGCATTCCATTCTCGATACTCTTCTCCAACACCACAGCTCAAAGGCATAATTCTCCTTCTATCATGCCTAGTCATTGTCCAGCTCTCTGATGCATAGCAAGTGATTGCAAAGATCATGGCCTGTATCAGGCATACCTTAGTCTCCAGGCTGACATCATTGCTCTTCAGTACTGTGGAGTGGTCTCTGACTGCAGATATTCCCAACGCAATACATCTTTTAATTTCTTGGCTGCTGGTGCCAAGATTGTGGAGCCAAGCAAATGAATGCTTTTACAATCTCAGTCTCTTCACCTCCCATCACGATGCTGCTAATTGGCCCAGTAAGTGAGAATCTTAGTTTCCTTGATGTTGAGCTTCAATCCATATTGAAGGCTGCAGTCCTTGACCTTCTGCAGCAAGTGCTTCAAGTCCTTCTCAGTTTCAGCAAGAAG